TAGTAAGCCTATGGGTGGCGTCATCTCTCACAAGCATTTGCAGCCATTGTCAGTGAGCTCTTCTCTACACAGAAGTCACCACTGGAGAGTTCATGTGACTGAAACATCTTCAGAATAGGTAAGTATAGAGTACTTTTCTTTACAGAGTTAGATAGAATAGACTTAGAATGGGGGTGGGAGTAGGTTTAGCCTAATGCAGGCCATAGACAGTTCGTTTAATTTTTGGCCGAAAAATTAAAATATTGGTCATTCTGTTGCCACCAATGATTACGAAAATTGGACGTTTTTTGCTAATTTTCAAGCATGACCGATAAAAGAAATGAGGAGGAACCACGAAAATCGGCCGATGACATTGCCTCACTAACGGTGCAAAAATCAGCGATTATTCTTTTGGATGAAAAATCGGCTGATAAACGAACCATCTATGGCCTGCATTAGTTTGCTTTTGACTTAACTTCCACTTTAAATGTAAATAAATATATATTTGCATAAATGTATTTTAAATGTTGATAAACTATATATAGATCAAGATTTTAAGGTGCTTAGAAGGCTCCAAGACCCAGACTAGTAAAGTGTACGTTCACTTCGGAAGCAAGGCTGGTGACCCAAAATGGAAAACTGGCATAATAACTCAACATAATGTATTGGTATTGAAAAAATATAATGCCTCATGAACAAATGGCCGACAATAACCTTCATACCATGGATGTACATGCAGCTCCATCACTTCCTGCACAGTCCAACACGTAAAAGAGAGCTTGCCAGACCCCTTACCCAATTTGAGAAAATATGCTCCAAGATTCCCCACAGAGACATGTGGTCTCCAAGCTATATACATACTCGGAATCGCAAATGAAGTCATATCTAGAAAGGCATGCATAGTCTGGAGTAGAGATCTGCCAACTAGACCTGTCCTCAGATGATAGGGAACGTATATATGGTCATATATACATAAAGGCTCCATGTGTGTTTCGACCCAAGAAAAAATAACTACAAACTGTACTCAAGATGGTATAGCGTTCCCACTTTACTCAACAGATTTGATCCTAGTATCTCTAACTCCTGTTGGAGATGCCACCAAGCTATTGGTACACTTCTCCATATATGGTGGGACTGCCCAATGCTCCAACAGTTCTGGAGCAAAATACAATCAATAATTGCTCAAGTAACAACTTACTCCCTAGACCTATCTCCTGTGCAATTCTTACTGCATCACTTATCTCTCTCTCTTTTAAGACGTACTTTAAGTCACTCGCTATGCATATGGTGCATGCTGCCAAGCAGTACATCCTGATACATTGGCGCTCTACATACATTCCCTTGGTTCAGGAATGGTTTTTCACTTAAACAAAGTAGCTAAAATGGAGGAACTCATCTCTGTAGCAAAAGACTCCCCCGAGAGATTCAGGAAAACGTGGGCATGCTGGAGTAATTTTAAAACAACAGACGCTTATCACCAATTGCTGCAAAACCCCACCATTTCATCCACACGAGAATATTCCTATAGATAAGAGGTATACATAGATACTTCAGATGTTATGAACATAACTTATACCCCACTTGACTGAGACCGAATAACAGAGCCCATATACTGCTGAGACTGATATATATCACGGAATACAACACGTCAACCAAGATTGACATACTGAGCCTCTGAATGCCACTCTGATTACCATGAATAACTTGACCTGGAGCAGTTGCATCCAAACCCCCCCCCCCCCCCCCTTTTTTTCTCTTCTACTCCTCTCCCTCTTTTTTCTCCCTCCTCCTATCCTGCATTCTTTCCATCCCTTTCCCACTTCTTTGTGTTTAGGTGAACTTTGATTACCGGAAGAACCACAGGTACAAATACAGTCAATAAGCTTCCATCCTAGTGGTGGACATCCAATAACCCTCTGATATAACCACCCTTTCACCATACATTGCATTCTGTAATTAACCTCCCTGGCGGTATGATTATTTCTAATTTTTGGGGCTGAAAGAGGTACCATTTTTTTGCATGGAAATATGTAGTTTTTTATTGTAGGCTGTAATTTTTAGAAATAACTCACTGAAATCTGTCCGAACAAGAGTCTAGTAAACATTCTGGATATGATAAAACTTGAAACACGAAATCATAAATTATAATTTAATTAATAATCATAAAAAATAATAATATAATAATAATATATTTTATATCAATAATATAATCAAACCAAAAACACTGAAATTTGAAATACAGAGGCAAATTTGAACATCGCTGAGCAAAGTCGCAAAATCGTTTTCAGTGTCTGATGACGAATTTCCCCACGAATCATTATCGCTCAATTCTGCAAGTGGTTCTAATTCACTATCGCTGTTCTCTAGCTGGTCTAAAACCGCTTTTGACATAAAGGGACACCTTTTGGACGCCATGGACTTTTCTAAGTTTCCAGACAGAAAGAACAGTCAAAATGCAGGCAGGGCACAGGACAAAGCAGTAGGGACAAAATATATGTGAAATGCATTGAAACAGCAATGTTTTACTATATAATAAATCATTTTTAAAAAAATGACATTTTTTTTAAATTTCAAATTTGCCGCCGGTTCCGGCGCCCGTACACCCCGACGTCACAGGGACCGTAACACGGAAGCCGGATGCCGGCATCGGCCGGAGGATATGGCCGGGGACGCTGCAGGGGACGCATCGCGGGAGCGAAGGACAAGGTAAGCTCTGCAGGGACTCCCTGAGCAACGCCGCATGGTAAGCCCGAGTGTAGCTCGGGGTTACCGCTCTTGGTACTGAAATTTTACCCCGAGCTACACTCGGGAATACCGCCAGGGAGGTTAAAGGGAGTATATGATGGTTTGCTAATTCATGTACCCAATTGTTATGTTCACATCATCTTTTCCTTTCTATTTTTGTTTGGACTTTGTTTTTCATTTGTTATTGTTTTCTGCATTGTTATGCGATGAAACCATGTATACTTCAGATATGTGACCCAACAGGGGACACTTGCATTAGTTGATACTATCCATGATCAGAATGTAACCTGTACATGTTATCATTGTGCTTCTTTTCTCAATAAAACTGTTTTTGGAAAAAAAAAAGAAAAAAAATATATTTAATGACAAATTAAAACCATATCAGAAACGATGAAATCTCATCTTAAAATTGGCCTCAGGTGGTAATGAGCACCTTTACCAACTGTTCTTGTAAAGCTTCTTGAACACAGTTGAGGAACTTGGGCTTCACAAATTCTTGTTACAAAAAACAAGTTCAGCTTTATTTTTTCTAAATGACTGCTCTGGAAGGGAATGAGGATCCTGCAGAGATAACTAGGAAATAGCTTATTAAGAAAGATAAACAATCTTCTGCGTGACATAACAGCAGAGTGTTCCAAAACTACGGGAGCGGAATCAGACACACTCATACAGGCTCTGATATAACTCATCTGTCTGAGGCAGCAGTCGAAATTCAGGGGAAGACTGTCATGGAGAATCAAAAAGAGAACTCCACCATTGAAAATTGTGGCTAATCCCAGCACAGGGCAACTAGGGCTAACAGCTACAGATGAGCATATCTTAGCTCTTATGGTAACATCTAAGACAGGTATCCAAGCATGCAGCTCTGTAGTATCTTGTGCAATTTGATTTTCAGTGTCACACAGGCCTATACTGTGAATTAGCCTAGAAGACAATATTGGCTCCAACGTATTGCCCTGATCTAGAAACTAAAGTAATAAACAAAATTTTGAAGGAGGAAACGTAGACATTGCACTTCACTCCTTCGTTGATAAATCAGTTTTACATATTGCACAAGAAGAATTATATTAAGATCTGCCTTAGTTCTTTGGACAACACATTGTTCATCTGTATTATCAGAGGAGCTAGGATGTTACAAAGGTAGAGATCGGTGTGATAGACTGTCTTGTCCTTCAGAGCCTCAGAACATCACTGTGAACCCAAATGCATGAATAACCTTCCCTCCTCAGAGAGGAGATGGAATAATATATATCCACAGGTGTGGGACTTAATGGAATAGAGCAGAGTTTAAGTGATACAAGAGTTGGGCCTATTACCTTAGTAAAGGAAACTAAAATATCTATATTTGGTAAAAACTGTTTTTTTTTTATCTATATTTGAGAAAATGTGTTCTTTTTTGTATAGCTGCCATTTGCTCTGAAATTATAAATGTAATCTGTGACCCAGCATAACATTTTCTTCCCATTTCTGCCACATGAAAGTTCTGGTGCTTGCTGACTGGCCCAGTGCTATCAGATGAGGGCATTGAAATGTTCATTGGCCATGTGCCCTGTGCAATCACCACTTTCATCTCTCCTGATGGCTGAAAGGATTGTAGAAGGAGAGAAGGAAAAGTGTATATTTGCTGCTTGGGTGGCCCTGTTGGAATCCTCCTGATTGCCTGCTAGAAAATTATTGGTTGAACATTGTGGAGGGACCTGTTCGGTTTATGTGTTTATGACCAGAAAAGTGAACCTGTTGATTTGCTGTTCACTTTAAGCTGGCCATACACAGTAGAGCCTGATAGTACCACCTCTGTTTAACCGCTAGCCTACAGGGCACTTATACCCCCTTTCTGCCCAGGCCAATTTCCAGCTTTCAGTGCTGCCACACTTTGAATAACAATTGCGCGGTCATGCAACACTGTACCCATATGAAATATTTATAATTTTTTTAGACAGATAGAGCTTTCTTTTGGTGGTATTTAATCACCTCTGGGATTTTTATTTTTTCTTAAACAAACCAAAAACCATTGAACATTTTGAAAAAAAAAAGGTTTTTCTTAGTTTTTGTTATACAATTTTGTAAATAAGTGATTTTTTCTCCTTCACTGTGCGCTACTGAGGCTGCAGTGATGGGCACTGATAGGCTGCACTGATGGACACTGATAGGTGGCACTGATGGGCACTGATGAGGAGGCACTGGTAGGTTGCACTGATGGGCATTGACATGCATCACTGATGGGCACTGAAAGGCAGCACAGATACATGACACTGATATGTGGCACTGGCGGACTGGCATTGATAGGCGGCACTGACTGGCACTGATAGGCGGCACTGACTGGCACTGATACGCACTGATAGGCGACACTGACTGGCACTGATATGTGGCACTGATTGGCAGCACTGATAGGTGGCACTGATTGGCATTGATAGGTGGCACTGACTGGCACTGATGGGTGACATTGAAAGGCAACTCAGATGGGCACTGATATGTGGCATTGATGTGCACTGGTATGCACTGATATGTGGAATTGATGTGGCACTGATGGGCACTGGCACGTGGCACTGATGAGCACTGACAGGTGGCACTTCTGGGGTTACACTGATCATCAGTGCCTGATCAGTGTACATGTCCCCTCCGCGGAAAGCCGATTACCGGCTCTCCTCTCCTCTCGAGCTGTCAGCATGACAGCTCGAGAGGAGAGAAATGCTGATAACCGGCATTTCCGTGTTTACATGTGATCAGCTGTGATTGGACACAGCTGATCACATGACCGAGCCAACATCTTCAGCTCTTTCCGTGATCTGCTGTGTCGGAGGGACACAGCACACCAGCGATCGCTGCGCACTCCCTGAGCCGCGGATGCGCAGTGAAAATGGTAGGACGTCATATGACGTCCTATCAGAACGAGAGAACCACTTTGCGCCCATCATTGTACTATAGGGTGGGCGAAGGTGGTTAAAAACAATGAGTGGGATTTATCAAAACTGGAGCGTGCAATATTTGGTGCAGCTCTGCATAGAAACCAATCAGCTTTCAGAATTTATTGCCAAAGCTTAATTGAACAAGCTGAAGTTAGAAGCTGACTGGCTACCATGCACAGCTGCACCAGATTCTGAGTTCCCCAGTTTAGTAAATCCCCATGTATACAATTAGAAAACCTGTGTAAATAGTCTATTCACTGTATATTTCTGATACATCTAAAGGAGATTTTACAATTTGGTTTACCAGCACAACATTTTTTAAAGGAATGGGGGTTAGTAATAGCATCTTCCATATTTCTATTATGAACGTTTTCTTTTACAGCACTCCTGCTTCTTTGATCTTCCTCACTCTCCCCATATCTAATTTGTTAAAAAATACTTTATACATGCTTTTTTTTAAGTCTTTTTCTCAACCTGGCACAAGTCCTTTCTCTTCAGATTTAATGTTATCAGTGGGCAGTCTGGGAGTACTGTGAGCCCAAGCTGAGGGATGATGCACCTTGTGATGTATGTGTGTCCATGACAATGTAGGCCCACATGAAGTATCATCCAACCACTTCATGTGGGCTTACACTGTCATGGACACATCCCTAAGGGGTGCATCATCCCTCCGCCTGGGCTCGCAGTACTCCCATGACAGACTGCCCACTGCCACCATTGAAGCCAAAGTAGAAGGGCTTGTGTCGGGTTGAGCCTGAAGGCTGTAAGAAAAAAAAGGTATGTATAAAAGAATATCTTCATTTAATCTGAAAAATGTATGGCCCTGGACCTGGAGATGTTTATATTTCGAGGAACAGCGTCGGAGAGGAGATGAGTATAGCAGCAAGAAGTACATTTTTATGATATAAACATAAAGGTCAGTATAAATGTATTATTTTCAAGTTAGTTTTTAAAGCTGGAGTGTAACTATATACTGTATGTTGACATTGCTTATTTGTTCCCATGTAACTTTCTGTCTGTAGATGTCTATGAAATGTTCACAGTATTCCACTATGCCCACAATGCAGATACTTTAAGAGCCTCCATAGGAAAAAAGAACAAGACTGATAATAAAAACAATTTACAGAGTATATTTTTCTGCCTCGCCATGCGTTGTCAAATGTACCAGAATAGTGGGAAATAGGTGTCGTGCTTCAATAAGTCAGAGGGTTGCACAAATCAACCAGAAAATACATAACTGAAAATCACCAGAGGAAATAAACACTTTTTCATCCCTAAACTACTCTCAGTTACAAAGAAAAAAAACTGATTGCACAGACAGCTCTCTGTGTATTCGATTGTCAACTGGTGCGTGCGGTAAATAAACCTTTTCATTATTAAAGCACTTCTAAACAAAGATGTTTGAAGTGCACTGTAATTAAATATATGTTTGCAAAATGAGATTCCTCATTTTCCTACAACAACATAATACCACAGAAAGAATGGTTTGATGGTCACCGACTGCAACTGAGTGGTGATGTCAGTGGAGGACCATAAATGGCTCATTTGTGGACAAACATATATTAATTTACATGACTGGTATGAAGAGATATCTGCATGTCTTTGGCCACCTACAAGGGGTGTGTGTACATGTGGCTGCAGGGTAGGGAATGCCCCTACTGCAGATGATTGGGCCATTGACAGTGACAGCTTCCTGGGAGGCTCAGCCACGTGGGTTAAGAAAAGCATCCGAACATGCCTGAGCTCATCTCTACTGATGACCTCTTTTATGGAAATGAAAGCTACTTTGCTGTTCTGCTAATACAGTGTTTTCAATATTTTTTGCCTTAGTGATCCAGAATAAGAACACTATACTGTATGTCCAATATTTGTGGACACCTGACCATCACATGTACCTACATATCCAAAAATATGTTGACGCACCTTTAAAACTGAGGTCAGGTACTTCCATTAAAAGGTAATTCAGCCAACCAAGACATTTTAGACCATCATTGTTTCAACCTTGTTGAAATAGTTTGGGGAAGGTTATTTCTGTTTCAGAATGACTGTGCCCCTATGTACAAAGCCAGATCTATAAAGACATGGTGTCACAATTTACGTGTGATGGAACTTGAGTGGCCATGACCTCAACCCTACTGAACACCTTTAGGATAAATTGGAATTATGATAGTGAGCCAGGTCTTCTCATCCAACATTAGTACTTTGCATAACAAATGCTCTTTTGGTTCAGTGGGCAAAGATTCCTACAGACACACGTCAACATTTTGTAGAAATCCTTCCCAGAAGAGTAAATAAATTGTTTTCCCTTTAAACGTGGTGTGGTTCACTACTCCCTGATTCCTTCTTTAGGTGAGGTTGCTGTTGGTCCTTTCCAGGTATTTGTGACCTTATGGAGTTGTGAGGCATATTTATGCATGCACAGCATGTTGTGCATGCACAGACATGCCGCAGGTCTCCTCCAGGTTCCAAATATCTGGCAGAGACCTGCAGCATGCCTGTGCATTCACAGGATCTTGCCATGCGCTTGCACAAGAAAGTTGGGAATAAACAGCATCTTCCCAACCAGGAGTGTGAAGATGGCAACAATGAAGCAGTGGGTCCCAGGACCACACACAATGTACAAGTGTACTCCTGAAATGTATTATCTTGCAACAGTGGCACAAGAAAGATGTTTATTGCAGAGCAATGGACAGAACAATGTCAGCCATAAATGGCTGGATCCTGCTCTAAATTTGTTGGACCAATGAGATGTGCTAGCATGGATCATGCCCTTTATAGAGATATAAAAAATGATTCCCACATCATATATGTTTAATATTTTTTTTTAATTGTAGGAAAATCTCAACATGCCAGGGCAGATCCCCAAACTTTCTAAAAATGCATTTAGACCTTAAAACGAGAATTTATTATAGGGTTGCTTATAAAACCATAGATGTGGTGGCTGCAAAATGTAAGTGAAAGAAAGCCAACTTAATCTTCCGAAAATAAAAAAAAGTTTATTATTTTATTCATCCAGTTGTGGTACAAAATAATAGAGGGCTTACGCATTTTGGCATGTTGCCTTAATCATAGCCAAAAAATGGCTATGATTAGGCTACACGCTGAAAAGCATAAGCCTTCTATTATTTTGTACCACAACTGGATTAATATATTAACAAACTTATTTATTGTGGAAGACTGAGCTGCTGGCTTTCTTTCATCTACATATTGCTCGGGTGCTAGGAGGACACTACAAGACAGTTCACCGACCGCTCACCACCTCGGGGAATTAAAACATATATTTTATACTATATAAGGTGGCTGCAATTGTTATTTTTTTAATTCCTTTTTTTTCCTTTATTTTCACCTGGTAATCCTGAAAATAACAATAATTCCTTTCCCTGGATGGCTACACTCACTCCTTCACTGTATCTATTGAGAGAGCCATGGTTGTCACCCAGGCTGGACTACAACCGTGTCTATCTTTTTTCATCTACATAGAAGGTGGAGAGATTAGTAGAAGAGAACAGTGTGTATCCCTTCAGTATATCTCACATGAAGTTGCATGAACATTGCATTTCCAGCAGGTATTTTCTGTTGTTGCTGAAAATGTTCATAGCTTGAAAAAAGACTAATGCATCCACCACATCTAAGGACTAGTAACCTTAGTCCTTTATTTAGTAGGAAATGGAAATAATGTGTTAAAAGGTAACTTCAGCCAAATATCTTTTATTTGTTAGCTTGGGTGATGGGTTAGAACTTGTTAGGGTTTTTTTTAACCTGCAAGTGAATCATTTTTAGACAGCTGAGGAAGCATCAAGCTCTCCTGCACTCGAAAGTGTTTTTCTAACTGCTATGTCCCCTCTTCCTGTCCTGGCAACAATGGTCTTGCTGGAACGAGAAGGGAGGAAAAACTTTTCAATGAGGACACAGTCATCAATTAAAACCTACTCAATCCAAAACCAAAAAAATAAAAAAGTTTTTGTTAAAGTTCCACTTTTAAAGTACACACACTACCTCCGCCCATTCAGCAAGGGCGGGAGACCTATACCCATCGAGTCACTAGTGGGAGAATACAGAGATCAGTCCATAACTATACAATCATGGTACCATGGCAACAGCAAGAAAGATAATGGAAAAACAACATCAGATATTACTTCGAGGAAAACTTTTCTTAAAATAACTCAAACACCGAAATTACATTAAAATCTAAATCTAGTCACAAACATAAAGAGGAATTAGTCTTCGAATTGCTAGCATAATAGTTCCCACTAAAGCAGCAACGGGGGTAGCGAGTCTCCACGTCCTGCAATTAGTCAGTGGCGGACTTGAATATTTATGATGGCACTCATAAGGATTTGCAATTCATGAAACATATGAAGTGGTTAATTATTCCCATTTTTCATGTCACTTCATACATGTGTAAATCAATGAGTGAAGGAAAGAATAATTAACAAATACATTGTGAAGGAAGTATTTTTTTGCCATATTTAAAAAAAACGTAATCTGCTGACAAGCTCCACCTTGCAGACAAATACTTTTATATAAAAATGAAGGATGTATTTGGCAGGTGCAATTACCCCCAACAACAGAGATGAAAACCTGGGGAAATAGTTTATTGGGTGATAAGGAGGTGGCACACACTGCGGTAAAAAACTGGGTTCTCCTAAATTGTTTATATGTTTAGTACGCACTCTAAAAAGCAATATGTAACGTGTAGTGCGAATTACATTTTTGTACATAGGCTCCCCCTGATGTGGGCAAGGTGTAGGAAATATCTTTTTTTTTTCATGGAGCGCAGCCAGTGCTTCCCTCTTTCTTGACTAGCCAAAAATGATGACCCCAGCTGCTTGAAGCCTCCTGAGATACTCAAATGCAACATCAAAGGAGGCTTCGGAAGGGAAACTTAAACACATTGTGCATGTGCTGCCTCGTGTTCGGGGTCCAGCTGCAGTAACCCAGCAAAGTGCTG